TTTCCAACAAAGATCCATACAGACTGAAAGTGAAAGGCTGGAAAAAGATATACCATGCCAACAGAAAAGAAAAAAGAGTGGGCGTAGCCATCTTAATATCGGACAACATAAACTTTACCACAAAAACTGTTAGGAGAGACAAAGAGGGACACTATATAATGATTAAGGGATCAATTCAACAGGAAGATATAACAATTATCAATGTATATGCACCTAATTACAGGGCACCGGTTTATCTAAAAGATTTGTTAAGGGACTTAAAGGGAGACTTAGACTCCAATACAATAGTACTGGGGGACTTCAATACGCCACTCTCAGAAATACACAGATCAACAGGACAGATCAACAAGGATACAGTAGATTTAAAGGACACTATAGCCCAAATGGATCTAACAGATATATACAGAACTTTCAATCCTACACAGAAAGCATTTACAGTCTTCTCAGCAGTACATGGAACCTTCTCTAGGATTGACCACATACTAGGCCATAAAGCAAGTCTCAGCAAATTTAAAAGAATTAGAATCATACCATGCAGCTTCTCAGACCATAAAGGAATGAAGTTGGAAATTAGCAACTCAGGAATCCCTAAAGCATATGCAAATGCATGGAGATTGAACAACATGCTCCAGAATGAACACTGGGTCATAGAAGAAATTAAAAGAGAAATCAAAAAATTTTCTGGAAGTAAATGAGGATGACAGCACAACATACCAAAACTTATGGGATACAGCAAAAGCAGTGTTAAGAGGAAAGTTTATATCCATAGGTGCCTACATCAAGAAATTGGAAAGGCACCAAATTGATGAGCTTTCACTGCATCTCAAGGATCTAGAAAATCTGCAGCAAACCAGACCCAAATCTAGCAGGAGAAGAGTAATGATTAAAATCAGAGAAGAAATCAACAGGATTGAATAAAAAAAAATTACAAAAAATCAGCCAAATGAGCTGGTTTTTTGAAAAAATAAACAAAATTGACACCCCATTGGCCCAACTAACTAAAAAAAGAAAAGACCCAAATCAATAAAATCAGAGATGAAAAAGGAAACGTAACAACAGACACCACAGAAATAAAAAGAATCATCAGAAATTACTACTAGGACCTAAATGCCAGCAAACAGGGAAACCTACCAGAAATGGATAGATTCCTGGACACATGCAACCTACCTAAATTGAACCAGGAAGACATCGAAAACCTAAACAGACCCATAACTGAGACAGAAATTGAAACAGTAATAAAGGCCCTCCCAACAAAGAAAAGCCCAGGACCAGATGGATTCACTGCTGAATTCTACCGGACATTTAAAGAAGAACTAACTCCAATTCTTCTCAAACTATTCAGAACAATCGAAGAAGAGGGAATCCTCCCTAATTCTTTCTATGAAGCCAGCATCACCTTAATTCCTAAGCCGGAAAAAGATGCAGCATTGAAAGAGAATTATAGACCAATATCCTTGATGAACATAGACGCAAAAATCCTCAATAAAATTCTCACCAATAGAATACAACAACACATCAGAAAGATCATCCACCCAGACCAAGTGGGATTTATCCCTGGTATGCACGGATGGTTCAACATTTGCAAATCAATCAATGTGATACACCACATTAACAGAATGCAGAAGAAAAACCATATGATTATCTCAATAGACACAGAGAAAACATTTCCACTGTGACCTGGTACCAGACAGGGATGCCCACTCTCACCACTGCTATTCAATATATTTCTGGAAGTTCTAGCCAGAGCCATTAGACAAGAAAAAGAAATTAAAGTATACAAATTGGGAAGGAAGAAGTCCAACTATCCCTCTTTGCAGGTGATATGATTATTTAAGGGATCCAAAGAACTCTACTAAGGGACTATTGGAACTCATAGAAGAGTTTGGCAGAGCAGCAGGATATAAAATCAATGCACAAAAAATCAACAGTCTTTGCATACACAGGCAATGCCACTGCTGAGAAAGAACTGCTAAGATCAGTCCCAGGCATTATAGTCCCCAAACCATCAAATACCTTGGAATAAACTTAACCAAGGATGTCAAAGATCTCTACAATGAGAATTACAAAATCTTAAAGAAATAGAAGAGGATACCAAAAAATGGAAAAATCTCCCATGCTCATGGATTTGAAGAATCAATATCATCAAAATGTCCATTCTCCCAAAAGCAATTTATAGATTCAATGTGATACCAATCAAAATACCAAAGACATTCTTCTCAGATCTGGAAAAAATGCTGAAATTCATATGGAGGTACAAGAACCCTCGAATAGCTAAAGCAATCTTGCACAACAAAAACAAAGCTGGAGGCATCACAATACCAGATTTCAGGACATACTACAGGGCAGTTGTAATCAAAACAGCATGGTACTGGTACAGAAACAGATGGATAGACCAATGGAATAGAACAGAAACCCCAGAAATCAACCCAAACATCTACAGCCAACTTATATTTGATCAAGGATCTAAAACCAGTCCCTGGAGTAAGGACAGTCTATTCAAAAAATGGTGCTGGGAAAACTATTAGAGAACATTGGAGAAACCCTATAATATATTGGCACCAGCAAAGACTTCTTGGAAAAGATCCCAGAGGCACAGGTAGTCAAAACCAAAATTAACTATTGGAATTGCTTCAAGTTGAGAAGTTTCTGTACTGCAAAAGAAACAGTCAGGAAAGTGAAGAGGAACCAACAAAATGGGAAAAAAACATTTGCAAACTAAGCATCCGATAAAGCATTAATAACCAGAATCTACAAAGAGATCAAGAAACTCCACAACAACTAAACAAACAACCCACTTAAAAGATGGGCAAAGGACCTCAATAGATATTTTTCAAAAGAGGAAATCCAAATAGCCAAGAGACACATGAAAAAATGTTCAGGACCACTAGCAATAGGGAAATGCAAATCAAAACTACAATAAGGTTTGACCTCACACTGGTTAGAATGGCTCACATACAGAAATCTACCAACAATAGATGCTGGTGAGGATGTGGGGAAAAAGGGACGATAACCCACTGTTGCTGGGAATGCAAACTGGTTAAGCCATTATGGAAGTCAGTTTGGAGATTCCTCAGAAACCTGAATATAACCCTACCATACAACCCAGCCTCCCACTTCTTGGAATTTACCCTAAGGAAATAAAATTGGCAAAGAGAAAAGTGTTCTGTACCTTAATGTTTATTACAGCTTAATTCACAATAGCTAAGACCTGGAATCAACCCAAATGCCCATCAACAGTAGACTGGATAAAGAAATTATGGGATATGTACTCTACAGAATACTATACAACAGTCAGAAACAATGAAATCTGGTCATTTGCAACAAAATGGAGGAATCTGGAAAACATCATGATGAGTGAAATAAGCCAGTCACAAAGGGACAAATATATGTTCTCCCTGATCGGTGACAACTAACCGAGCACCAAAAAGGAAACCGGTTGAAGTGAAATGGACACTATGAGAAATGGTGACTTTTTCAGCCCCTGTCCTGACTGTCGATGTACAACTTAATACTTTATCCCTTTTAATATTTTTTGTTCTACTTAATACTATTGGTTGAACTCTGTAATTAATACACAGTCATTATTAAGTGTTGAGATTTAAATGAAAAGTTATCTCTGTTAAATATAAGAGTGGGAATAACAGAGGGAGGAGATGTACAGTTTGGAACATGTTCAACTGTACTTACCCCTAATGGTAGATATAGAAACATGCCAGGGGATTCCAATTTAATCCCACTAAGGTGGCATGTATGAGTGCCATCTCACTAGTCCAAGTGATCAGCTTCAGTTCATAATTGATCATAATGAAAGGATTAAGAGTCAAAGGGATCACATAAACAAGACTACTGTCTGCTAATACTCACTGATAGAATTAAAAAGGAGGGAAATATACAACATGGGAAGCAGGATACACAGCAGACTCATAGAATGGCAGGTGTCTTGCTAAACAGCACTCTGGTCTCAGAATCAATCCTTAAGACATTCGGATCTGGCTAAAAAGCCCATGAGAGGATTTCAGGCATGGAAAGCCAATACACTGTGCCAAAAATAAAGTGACCTAAATGAAAGATCTCTGTGAGTGAGATCCCAGCAGAAAGTATGAGCCATCAAAGAAGGAGGTATCTTACAGTGAAGGGAGGAGAGAACTTACACATTGACTATGGCCATGTCTAAAAAAGATCAGAGTTGGCAAACTCAAGAGGCTTCAATAGCCATGGTAGCTCATGACAAGAGCCTCAGGTGATTACTGACATCATAAATAAGAGTGTCAATTGTTAAATCAACAACAGGAGTCACTGTGCACTTACTCCCCATGTACGATCTCCATCCTTAATGTGTTGTATTATGTGAATTAACAGCAAACTAGTACTCAAACAGTACTTTATACTGTGTTTCTTTGTGTGGGTGCAAAGTGTTGAAATCTTTACTTAGTATATACTAAATTGATCTTCTATATATAAAGATAATTGAAAATGAACCTTGCTGTGAATAGGATGGGAGAGGGAGGGGGGGATGGGATGGCTGAGCATGGAAGGGAGCTTATGGGGGAAAAAGCCACTATAATCAAAAAGTTGTATTTTGGAAATTTATTTATTAAAGGTTAAAAAAAAACATCTGAATTCTCTGATGTATGACAGATTTGTAATAAATGGCTTTTTCACAGTATTAATATTTATAAGCTTTTTCCATGAAATGAGTCCCTTTGGATAAGATGTGATTTCCAGCATAAGATTTATCATAAATACTTATATTATTTGAGGGAAAACTCTTTGACGTGCATTATTTTGTTTATTTTTTAGACAGAGTTAGAAAGAGACAGAAACAAGGGTCTTTCTTCCATTGGCTGCTATGGCTGGAACTATGCAAATCCAAAACCAGGAGCCAGGTGCTTCCTCCTGGTCTCCCATGCGGGTGCAGGGGCCCAAACACTTGGGCCATCCTCCATTGCCCTCCTGGGCCACAGCAGAGAGCTGGACTGGAAGAGGAGCAACCGGGACTAGAATCCGTCACCCACATGGGATGCTGGAACCACAAGCAGAGGATTGACCAAGGGAGCCACGGCACTGACCCCTCATTATATTCTCAGTCTCTCTTCTGTGCAAATTCCATGATGGATTATGAGGTATGACCTATGACAAAAAGCTTTCCCACATTTATTTCATTCATGAGATCTCCACTTTGTGAATTCTCTAATGTTGTACTTGAGATTTTGGCAAAGCTTTCCAACACTCATTACATTCATAAGATTTCTCCCCCATGTGAATTCTCTGCTGTCTTATAGGGTATGACTTCTAAGTAAAGGCTTTTCCACAACATTACTTTCAAAGGCTTTTTTCCCTGTACAAATTTGATGATGTGCAATGAGGGCTAAATTATGGTAAAAGGCTTTGTGAGTCATTACATTCATAAGATTTTTTTCCCGTGTGAATTGTTATGATTGATGAGGTATGATTGGCACCAAAGGCATATCCACACTTATTATAATCTTATTGTTCTCCCTTGATGAATTCTGTTATTTGATAAAATGAAGCTTGCACAAAAAGGCAATTGTGTGCAAAATTCCCTGTATGAATTCTAGATGTTTTTAGTTGTGAATTATATCAAAAGTCTTTCTACCATCATTATTCATGACATTTCTCCCCTTGTGAATTCTCTGATGCTTTCTGATGTTTGACATACAGTCATTGCCATCATAAGGTTTCTCTCCTGTGACTTCTCTGTTTACTGAGTTCTGAACTGCACATAAAGGCTTTTCCACAGTCATTACATTCATAAGGTTTCTCCTGTGTGGCTTCTCTAATGATTTACAAGACTTGAGTTTTGGCCAAAGGCGTTACCACAGTCATTGCATTCAGAAGGTTTATCCCCTGTGTGAATTCTCTGATGACTTATGAGGTTTGACTTCTGGCCAAAGGCTTTTCCACAGTCATTACATTCATAGGGTTTCTCCCCTATGTGAATTCTCTGATGGTTTATGAGGTGTGCCTTCTTCACAAAGGTTTTCCCGCAGTCATTGCATTCATAAGGTTTATTCCCTGTGTGAATTCTCTGATGTAGGATGAGATCTGACTTCCACCTAAAGGATTTTCCACACTCATTACATTCATAAGGTTTCTCCCCTGTGTGAATTCTCTGATGACTTATAAGGTTTGACTTTTGGCCAAAGGCTTTTCCACAGTCATTACATTCATAGGGTTTCTCCCCTGTGTGAATTCTCTGATGCTCTCTGAGGTGTGCCTTCTGGCCAAAGGCTTTTCCACACTCATTGCACTCATAAGGTTTATTCCCTGTATGAATTCTCTGATGACTTATGAGGTTTGTTTTATAGCCAAAGGTTTTTCCACATTCATTGCATTCATAAGGTTTCTCCCCTGTGTGAATTCTCTGATGATTTATGAGGTTTGACTTCTGGTGAAAGGTTTTTCCACAGTCATTACATTCATAAGGTTTCTCCCCTGTGTGAATTCTCCAATGACTTATGAAGTTTATTTTATAGCCAAAGGCTTTTCCACAATCATTGCATTCATAAGGTTTCTCTCCTGTGTGACTTCTCTGATGATTTATGAGGTGTGCCTTCTTGCCAAAGGCTTTTCCACACTCATTACATTCATAAGGTTTCTCCCCTGTGTGAATTCTCTGATGACTTAGGAGGTTTGACTTCTGGCGAAATGCCTTTCCACAGTCATTGCATTCATGAGGTTTCTCTCCTGTGTGAATTCGCTGATGAGTTATGAGGTGTGACTTAATGCCAAAAGCTTTTTCACAGTTAGTACATTCATAAGGTTTCTCTCCCGTGTGAATTCGTTGATGATTTATGAGGTGTGACTTAAGGCTAAAAGCTTTTTCACAGTTAGTACATTCATAAGGTTTCTCCCCTGTGTGAATTCTCTGATGCTTTATGAGGTTTGTTTTATAGCCAAAGGTTTTCCCACAGTCATTACATTCATAAGGCTTTTCCCCTGTGTGAATTCTCTGATGCTTAATCAGATGTGACTTCTGGTAAGTGGCTTCTCCATGTTCATTAAACACATGAGGGTTTTCTACTACATGAGTACTGTGATGGATGGTATGGCAGGATTTATAACTGAATGATTTTCCCCAAGGCTTAGGTTTCCTCCCTGTAAGTGGTCTATGATTTATTTTAAGATGTGATTGGTCAATGACAGGTTCCAAAGAACTAGTATATTCATAAACTTTCTCTTTTCTGGGACTTTGTTGATGCATACTGAGGTTAGAATTTTTATGGAAATCTTGTTCTATTTGAGTTGTCTTACCAATAGTGGCAGTTGATGTACTACTTTCTACCATAAAACGCCTCTCAGATTTACAAAATACATTTTTCCTTTTGAAGACTTTCCCTTGTCCAGTTGGTTCAAAAGCCTGTAGCACAGTCTGAATTTTGTGCTGTTGATTAAGAGCCTCACAGAACTGGAGAGCATTCCCAGGTACCTTAGTAGCATCACATTTTTCTCCAGTTTGTAGTTGATCAGGCCCACAGTGGGGATGCACATTGTGACATATATTGTATTCTTCAGGTTTCATTCCTGAATAGATTCTCTTTTTGATACTCAGTTTTGGAATATGGTTTGAAATCAAATGAAGTGTTTTTCTTAATTCAATTATCTTGGGAGTTGATGTCTTATTATTTTTCATAACATTCTGATTCAGATTTTTGTCCTGACTTTTCTGGTTTTTCCTAATCAGGTCATCCCTTTTCATGGCAACTGAAGTGAGAAAAAAAATAATGTTGTCAATAAATCAAATATAATTGTTTCTCCTGGCATACTCATGTAAAAGGAATGAAGTTACTTGTATTTAAGAGGGATAAAATTAACAAAATGAATACAAATCACTGCTTGGAATGTCTACATCCAAAAACAGTGCCAGTTTCAGCCCACGCTACTCTGCTTCAAATACAGCTCTCTACTAATGTATACTAGGGGACAGCAGATAATGGTTCTTGTGCTTGGGACCCTGTGATACATCAGATTCAAATAGTTGGAATGCCAGGCTTTTGGCTTCAAATTAGTCAGACCTAACTGCTGTAGGTATCTGGGGAGGTAGCTAATAGGAAATCTCTTGCTCACTGTTTCTCCTCTCACTGACTTTCTGCCTTTCACAAAGATGAAACACCTATATAAGATTTTAAAAAAAGGACATATGTTTAGTAAAAATAATCAGCTATTACCTAGAAATCAATTTTTCCCTGTCCTATTCTTTCCAGTTCATTTTTATAAAATTGTGTGTTTTGTACTTCTCTGGTATTTCAACCATCAAGATGGGAAACTTTTACTGGATCATTTTCTTGCAGGTGGAGAAGAGTTTAATGTGTCTGTATTCCAAGCAGGATCACATTTAAGGGACAAGATTTGCATCTGTGGTTGTCTCATGTTCTGTCTTCCCAGGGAAACAGCATTTGTGGGATTTTTCTAATGAAAAATTGTTTTATCTGCACTCTATTACAGTTTCCCCATATTTCTAAGGAAACCTGACATCCTCAGCTTCTGAGAACTACAACAGTTGCAGAAAGTTCCAACGTATCACCTTCGGTATACATTCACAACAATTTATAGAATTCATTTCTGCAGACCACAATCTGCTCTATTTCATGAAAATTATTTCTATCTCATTGTGACGTTGTCAACCCTGGTTTCCTCCTTTCATTTCTTTCTATGAACACTCCTCTGTGATAATATGTGACTCTGGAGGTTTTGATCAGTTGTTGATTTTCACATGAAACTTCATTTCCTTTGCCTTTACCAGAGATAATGATCTCCATAGATACTGTAGAATAACTGTGTCTGAAGTAAGACTTGGGAAAAACTCATGGAAAGAGCACCAATCAACATCTGCTACACTGCTTCTACCTAGGCCTCCCTGCCCAAAATGTGCAGACTGACCTGGAAGGCTCTGATGTAGGCATTCTTCCCCCATCCAGGGCTCTGCTCCTTGCTCCAACTTGAAGATCAAGTCAGGTTTGGTCACACAGTGTCCTATTAAGGGAAACAATGTAACACTTTGTGAAATCACTATCTTGGGTTAATTGAAGGTGAACAGCTTGGTCCAGGAGCTATGTAACCAATGTTCCAGTATTTTTTTTAACTTTTATTTAATGAATATAAATTTCCAAAATACAGCTTATGGATTACAATGGCTCCCCCCGCATAACTTCCCTCCCACCCACAACCCTCCCCTTTCCCTCTCCCTCCCCCCTTCCATTCACATCAAGATTCATTTTCAATTCTCTTTATATACAGAAGATCAGTTTAGCATATTTAAGTAAATATTTCAACAGTTTGCATCCACATAGAAACACACAGTGAAAAATAGTTTGAGTACTAGTTATAGCATTAAATCACAATGTACAGCACATTAAGGACAGAGATCCTCCATGAGGAGTTAAGTGCACAGTGACTCCTATTGTTGACTTAACAAATTGACACTCTTGTTTATGGCATCAGTAATCACCCCAGGCCCTTGTCATGAGTCGCCAAGGCTATGGAAGCCCCTTGAGTTCACCAACTCTGATCATATTTAGACAAGGTTGTAGTCAAAGTGAAAGTTCTCTCCTCCCTTCAAAGAAAGGCACCTCCTTCTTTGATGACCTGTTCTTTTTACTGGGATCTCACTCGCAGAGATCTTTCATGTAGGTTTTAGGGTTTTTTTTTTTTTTTTTTTTTTTGGCCAGAGTGTTTTGGCTTTCCATGCCTGTAATACTCTCATGGCCTTTTCAGCCAGATTCGAGGGCCTTAAGGACTGATTCTGAGGCCAGAGTGCTGTTTAGGACATCTGCCATTCTGTGAGTCTGCTGTGTATCAAGCTTTCCATGTTGGATCGTTCTCTCCCTTTTTTGTTCTATCAGCTAGTATTTGCAGACACTAGTCTTGTTTATGTGCTCCCTTTGGCTCTTAGTCCTATCATCATGATCAATTGTGAATAGAAAATGATCACCGGAACTAGTGAGATGGCATTGGTACATGCCAGCTTGATGGGATTGAATTGGAATCCCCTGGTATGTTTCTAACTCTACCGTTTGAGGCAAGTCAGCTTGAGCATGTCCCAAATTGCACATCTCTTCCCTCTCTTACTCCCACTCTTATATTTACAATGTTCCAATTTGAATTCCTTTTCAGATGGTAGATATTCAGATTCTTCATGGACTCAAATTCTATACCCGTCCTTCATTAAACTTTATAAATAGTGCTCACTTATTTGTCAAATAGTGAGAAAATGTTACCATTGGGCATGTGATGAATGTCACTCACCCAGGGAGAACAGGCTGCTGTAGGTCTCCAGCATCACATCCCTGTACAGGATTTTCTGAGCTTGGTTCATGTTCTGCCATTCCTCCCAGGTAAAGTACACAGCGAGGTCTTCAAATGCTATCATCACCTGTGATAGAACACTCTTTGTCAACATGTCAACTCTGTCATATTACAAACAATGGCAGTTGCATATCTTCTACATGGGTATGGAAGAAGAAGGAAGGATGCTATTTCATTTCAGATTTGTTGAGCATTTGGACAGCCACACAGAAGCATTCAACAGGGGGTCAAACCTATGGTATAAAGGCTGGGAAAAATTCCCAAGCTGGAGGGAAACAGGGGTTTCAGCTCAAAAGGCCAGACTATGTCAATGGCCATTGCAAAGTAGGTTGAAAGGGGGACAACATTCACTCTGGAATGAGCAATGTTCAGAAGAATGTAGAAGTATTCAGGGAATAAGACAAGAAACCATCAGGAAGCTATGAAGGGATTGAACAGAGAAGAATTTCCAGGAAAACACCATGCACAGTCAATGCAATTATGGCAGAGAAAAAAATGTTTTTAAAGAGACAGTAAGCATTTAACTTAGTGTTTATGATGCTAGCTCAGACACTCTATCTCTATGTCAAATTTCCAAAGTTGGATTTCAGTGCCAGCTCCAGTTTCCAGCTCTCAGCTAATGCAGAACAGGGGAAGGAATGTTGATGCCAACCAAGAGGAAGGCCTAGATTCCTTTCTTGACTCTTGGCTTCAGTTGTGCCCCACCCCTGCTTGATATGATTATTTAGGCAGTGAGTGGGTGCATGGGAGTTTCTAGCTTTCTCTCACTCCATCAACTTCTTTCTCTATCAAGCTCATAAATATTTTTAAATAAGGGAAGAGATTCAAGAAAAAATAGAAAGTAGCTTTTTCTTTTCCTGTAATTATTCTACTCATAAACATTTAAAGAACTGAAATAACATTATCACAAATTAAAGTAAAATCAATGGAATTATTTACCCAAGAACAGACCTTGAGAAATTCTGCAGTATAATCTGCATTTGTGACTGAGGGAAATGCAGAGAGATTTGTTTGAGAACCTGCAGTAGGCACCAGCATTGTGGTGCAGCAGGAAAGCCTGCACCCTCCACCTGCAATCCATGTGGACAGACAATTTGAGTCCTTGGTGCTCCACTTCCAAGGTTATGGGAGACCCAGATAGAGTTCCAGGCTTTAACCTGGCTTTAACCTGGCCAACGACTGTGGTCATTTTGTGAATGAACCAGTAGATGGAAGGTATCACTTTCTCACTACCCATCCCACCTTATCTCTATTTGCCTTTCAAATAAATAAATAAATATTTGGGCCACTGCTGTGGTGCAGCAAGTTAACACCCTGGCCTGAAATGCTGGCATCTCATATGGGCGCTGTTTCTAGACCCAGGTGCTCCACTTCTAATCAGGCTCTGTGCTATGCCTTGGAAAGCAGATCTGGCCCAACACCTTGGGCCCTTGAACCCACATGGGAGACCCAGAAAAAGCTCCTGGCTCCTGGCTCAGATCAGCACAGCTCTGGGCATTGTGGCCAACCAGGGAGTGAACCAGCGGATGAAGATCTCCTCTCTCTCTCTCTCTCTGCCTCTCTTTCTGTGTAACTCTGACTTTCAAATAAATAAATTGTTAAATAAAATCTTAAAATATAAAAGAACCTGCAATAGATTTTTTTTCCTCACACAGCCCTTATGCTATCTCTGCATCAAATTCAGTTCCCCAAATTATTAAGGACTGCATTATTCTAACAATTAAAAAAAAATAAATGGAACTGATTTGTGTTTTAGCACTAGCTAAGTCTTACCATTGCAGAATGCTCAGTGTTTATTTCCAGGGTGGTACTGAAACACTGCCAGTACATCACCTATATAACAATAAAGACTGTATTGGACATCATGACTCCCAATTTAGAACATTATCCTTGAAGCCTCATTTGAAAATATAACAAATATGTATTTTGCTATGGCAACAGAAAGATGATACCAAAGTGCCTTATCTTAGATTACTGCAATGCTTGATAGTCATGACAAATTCATTCACCTTGTTTTTATATATTCCCTGAGAATAAAATTTATCTTTATTTTTCCATTTTCATTCATAAATTATTATAAATCTAAAAAGAAAACTGACAGAAACCTGAGAATAATTAAAAAAAAAACACTTACAGGAGTCTGTGCTATTGCACAGTGGGTTAAAGCCCCAGTCCTCAGAGCCAGCATCCCATATGAGTGGCAGTTTGAGTCCTGGCTTCTCCACCTCAAATCCTGCTCCTGCTAATATAACTGGGAAGGTACTGGAGGATGACTCAAGTGCATGGACCCATGCATCTATGTGAGAGACACAGGAGGATCCTGCTTCTTGTCTGTGGATTGGCTCAGCTCTGACCATTGTGGCCTTTGGGGGAATGAACCAGCACATGGAAGACTCTCTTTCTATCTCTCGCTCTCTTTTTTAGCACTCTCGGTGACTCTGTCTTTCAAATGTATAAAATAAATATGTTTTAAAAAGTACACAATTAGCAGGTGATGTATTAATTTTCTTTGAAATATCTGGATCATACCTGGAAGAAAACATGAATGCAAGTATTTAAAAGAAAATTTCTTGGCTTTCCTCCTACATTGCACTGTAGAAAAAGGAGTGATAGAATGAATAAAGAATCATGAATACATAAATAGAGAAAATGTCAACTTCACCATGGAGGAGTAAGCGTTTAAACATGGAAATATATAGGCAAGTGCTCCCAACTCTACTAAGTGGCAGAGATTAACCAGAAGTTATCCTTGGTTAAATGAAAGCATTGCCAAAATTTTATTAAATGATAATGTAACAATAAAAAACAGTAAAACATTGTAATTATTGAAATAAATTATGTTCAGTAAAATTTACACTAATGAAAGTTATTTTGGGGACTGGCACTGTGGCTTAGCAGGTAAAGCTGCTGCCTGTATCCCATATGGGTGTCGGTTCAAATACCAGATGCTATACTTCAATCCAGCTCTCTGCTAAGGCCTGGGAAAGCAATAGAAGATGGCCCAAGTCTTTGGGCCTCTGCACCCGTGTCAGAGACCTGGAAGAAGCTCCTGGCTCCTGGCTTGGATTGGCATAACTCTGGCCATTTTGGCCAGTTGGAGAGTAAATCAGCAAATGGAAGACAACTCTCTCTGCAAATGGGATTGTCACAGAGTATCCAAACTTCCACATTTTTGTAAATTAGGTCTTGTATAAAGTTCTGTAACCTTGAAAGAGTAGTGCAAGGCAGGCTACACAATGCAGGAAAACAGACATTTTACTATAAGAAGACATACAAGGAAACCCCAAAAATGCAACTGCCACATAGTGTAAGTCAGCCTGCACACACCTCACAAGGATTTCTCAGGAAATGCAGGGACATTTCACTAGCAGTGTTAATGTACTCATCTTACAGACAGCTAAACAGTGACAGAGGTGCAATCAACATTCACACACACACATTTCATCCAAATGGCCTGAACATCCAGCTCCATCCCACTGCCATCTTAGATGAAACAGACTTTATTTTTTTTAATCTTCTTTATTTGACAGGTAGAATTACAGACAGTGAGAGAGAGGCAGAGAGAAAGGTCTTCCTTCTGTTGGTTCACACTCAAAGTGGTCAGAACGGACAGAGCTGTGCTGATCTGAAGCCAGGAGCCAGGTGATTCTTCCTGGGCTCCCACGTGGGTACAGGGGCCCAAGCACCTGGGCCATTGTCTCCTGCTTTCCCAGGCCACAACAGAGAGCTGGATGTGAAAAGGAGCAGCCGGGACTAGAACTGGCACCCATATGGGTGCCGGCACTGTAGACAGAGGATTAAGCTAGTGCACCACAGCACCGGCCCCGGATGAAACAGACTGTCTACAGAACTTTTGGAGCTGCCTTCTGTACACCTGGAGACACATTGGTCTTCTTTCAGTGCACCAATTTTTGACAAAAATATCTTTAAAGTCTCAACCTTATTCACCCTTTCTCCAGCTCCAGAACTGAGGATGTGGCATTGGTGTCCCTTCCTGGGCCAGCCAAGATCTGCAGGGTGCGCCTGAATGACATAACTTAACACCTCAGATCTATGACTGTCACCTATGCCACCAAGAGACAGACACCTGTCCTGCTCTCCAAGGTTCCTTTCACCCTCACACTAACATCCACAGACACAGAAACCAACCACACAGCTCTTGAGCATATGAGGAAAACCCCAGGTCAGGAATTCTGTGAAGATGGTGGGAGTGGTTGGAATGGCACATGCTGAGAAGGAGGCCAGAGGAGATTTCCCATGGTCCTGACCTGCTGCCATCATGGGCAGATGAGGCTAGATTCCCAGATACCAATGCACGTCTCCATTAGGAAGCAATGAAGATGATCCATGTATCGGCTGGACAATCAGCCTCCTGGGACATGGAGGGGATACATCAGAACTTGTCTAACCACATGGGATACCCACATAATAATCAAGTCCTCATTAATGTTTGACATATATACAACTGAAAGAAACGTAGTATAAGTGGAGAAATTCAAATGTGGAAAGAATTCTTGGGAATTGTATTTAAATTTATCATTATTTTTAAATCTCATAATTAAAATATGGTTCTAAAAACCTCTCATATTTCTTCTTTTTTTAAATTTTATCTCTTTGAAAGATAGAGTTACAGAGAGAGGTAGAGCAAGAGAGAGATCTTCCATCTGCTAGTTCATTCTCCAAATGGCCACAACAAACAGAGCTGAGCTGATCCAAAGCCTGGATCCAGGAGTTTATTGTGGGTCTCCCATGCAGCTGCAGGGGCCCATGGACTTCAGCCTACTTCTACTGCTTTCCCAGGCCATAGCAGAGAGTTGGATCAAAAGTAGAGCAGCTATCAGTCAAATTGGTTTCATATGGGATGTCAGAACTGCAGGCCAGGGCTTTAACCTGCTGCACCAAAGCACTGGCCTCCCTAATTATCATATACTCTCACAGATACTCAGGAAAAGACTTCTAGGACTCTTTTTAACTTAAAATATTCAATGATACCAATCTTCCTGAACAACCCATTTTTAATCTTGTAAAATGATGCTTGATCTTACCTACTAAAACAATTTTTCACCC